TTAAATATGTTGGAATAACTGAGTTGTCCAAACATGAACCTTATTGAAATGAACTATTTGTGATGAAGAGAGATGAGTCTAATAATGTGACTATAAACAAAATGCAACTCTTAGAAAAAGTCATTCATGCGTGAAATCATCATCCTCAAATCAGGAAACATAACAGTATTGTACCAAATATTATCATTACTACCTCTCTCTCCCCTGATTCCTTGTAACAATTCATCACAAAATCTCCCTCCTTTCCAAATTGTGGACCACCCCAAATCAAAGATTAAATGATTTTCTGACTGTCAAAAACTTAAAGTCTAACTTTAAGTTTTTTGAATTCAATTTATTGAATTCTTATAACGACCATCATTTAAATATTCAAATTTATTTATAAATATTTTTACTAATGACTTGAATAGTTAGCATAATTATGAGTAGTTTATAATTTGCATTTTTTATTGCACAAGCAATTATTTTGAATAAAAACAAAATGTTTTAAAATAAAGTTTAATTTTAGAAAGCTTTTTAATGATCATTTTAAATTAATTTAGATTTTTTAGCACATGTATTAATTAAATGCAACTTTAATTAATATTCTTAAAGTTTTTAAAATAACTTCCTTAAATAATCTCTTAAAATTTTTTTTTTTATAATCTTTGCAATAAATTAAATTTCCTTCTTAATGATCTTTTTCATTCTTTTCATCCTGCAGATTTGAAGCACTAAGTGGCTTAAAAATTTCTTAAGAACTTTTAAAGTTTCTTTCTAAGGCTCTAATAGCGGCTAAAAAAAAAAAAAAAGTGACTCAAAAGTATTTAAAAAGTATCAACAAGTATTAACAAAATTATAAACAATTAACATTTGATTGCATTAAATTAGATAAATTTTTTTAACTATGATGTTTTATTTGTGTTAAGACAGGTAATAAGGTAAATAAATAAAAAAGAAAATATTGTATTTAGTAAAAACAATAAATCCATATAAAGTTTAGGAATTTTATAGTAGTATCTAATAATAGATAAAATATCTTATAGTGCATCTAATGATTTGGCCAGTGACTGTATGTTTTAATATATTTTATAATAAAAATTTATTCTTTTTTCTAAGTCTTTTGTTTTTTTCAATCATTTGTTCTAATTTATTGTATGTATATAATTTGTATGTTTTAGCCATAAAATTTTTTTATATTTTAATTTCATCTATTTTTTTTTTAATTCTGATTTGCTGCCAACAAGACTGTAAGCAATCACTAATTAGTTGGGTCTTACTAGAAAAAAAGAGTGGAGTTATAGAGGAAGGAAAAGATTGACAGAAGACTTTAAAAGTTGAAGGTTGTATTAGTCAGAAAAATATATGAAGATGAGAGAGAGTTCCAAAGGGTTGAGGTGCAGGGAAAAAAACTAGACAAATATAAGTTTTTAGAGCATGCAGGGACAGATACAGTAAAATAATGAGATTTGCTGAATGATGAGTCAAGTTTTAGTTGATGGAACTAGAGATGATAGCTTCTTTGAACAGCGACCATGATAGTATTTGTAGAAAAGAAAAAGAGATGCAACTTTACTATGATGAGAAAGAGGCTCAAGCTTAGCAGATAGACCAGGTCCAACAACATTTACGATGCATTTTTGGACCTTGTCAAGAAGAGAAAGTGAATTGTTAGAAGAACCAGCCCAAATATGACAACAGTATTCCATACAAGTACGAATAAGAGATTTGTAGATGTAGAGAATGGAATCAGAAGTAAGGAAAAAACGTTTTTGAACCTAAAAGAGAAAAAGCATAATTAAAATAACCAGCCCAAAAATAACAACAGATTAATTATTAAGAGATTTCCATACAGGGATCAATAAGAGATTTGTAGAGGTAAATAATGGAATCAGGAGAGAGAAAATGGCAAGCTCGATAAAGAGAACCAACCTTAGCAGATGCTAAGTAGTTGGTTGTAGATATGGTTTGCAGGAAAGATCAGTAGTAAACAATAATCCACTAAGTCATAAAAAAGAGAACTCAGTGAGAGGGTTACCATTCGTTAATATAGTAATGTTGACAGCACTGCGATATAATATAGCTGTTTGTAAATAACTGAGTTATTTACAAACAGCTATAATAAGCAATCAAAAAGTTAAAATTTACAAGCCAGTGCGAGCCCCAATATGTCACAGAAGTGAGATCAGATTCAAGATTGGCTGCCTGTTCTAAGCAATCGAAAAGTTAAAATTTACAAGCCACTGCGAGCCTCAATATGTCACAGAAGTGAGATCAGATTCAAGATTGGCTGCCTGTTCTAAGCAATCGAAATGAGTAGAGTTTTTGTCAAGACTGGAGTATAAAGTTAAGTCATCAGCAAAAAGAGCTATTTTAGATGTAAGGTTGTCGGGAAGATTGTTAATGTAGATAAGAAACAAAACAAGACCAAGGATAGAACCTTGAGGAACCCCAAAAGTTACTGGAAATAAAGAAAAGTATTGGCCTTTGAGGATGACTTTAATAAAGCGGTTAGAAAAAAACAATTTGATAATCTCAAAATTTTTTCCAGATACACCTTATGAAACAAGCTTATGGAGAAGACTAGTATGCCAAACTTTGTTGAAAGCCTTAGATATGTCAAGAACAATAGCACTAGCTTCTCAGTCTCCATCTAATGTACAATTAAATCTTTCAGTCACCGCACTTAGCAGGTCAGTCATAGAGCTAGAGGATCAATGACTGTATTGATTGTCTAACAATAAGTTATTTGTTTAGGAAATTTATATCACAGTAAGAAATTTATTTATCAAAGACCTTGCTAATCGTAGAAAGAAGACTGATTGGACAATAAATGAAGGGGTCAGAATGTTCCCCGGAGTTTTTGGAAATTGGAACAACAGATGCCATTTTTCAGCAGGGAGGAAAATAAGACCCAGTTAACCATTTGGCCATAAAATTCAAGAGTCGAATTTGATGGAAGGTTCTTTGCAAATAGTTCTGTGTTATTCTTGGGATAGGTAATAAGATCAGTCCCATAAATGAGAGATTGAATATTAGACCTGCCCTTGTTCATGACGCTGTTGAAGATTTTCTAAAAGTTTTTAGAGCCTAACTTCTGAAGTAAGATACAAGATTAAGTGAGCTGAGAATAATGGAGCATAGCATTAGACAGTACCTACATCGATTTTTGCAATAATAAATAGCTGTTGTTCTTAAGAAAGTAGTTCTTTTAAAAAAGATGAAAAAATGATTACAATTAAATATAGCAGCTGCACAAGAGGGTTAAAACCATGGAGTAGAATGAGGTTTGATTTGGAACCGACAAGAAGGAACAAAAACTTCCATTCCTGCCTGAATACAGGTTATGTAGGAGGCGCAATTTTCAGCTTAAAGGGAAAAGACATCAGTCCAAGGAACATCACAAAGAAAATTAGGAAAAGACTCCTAGTAAGTAGTGCGATGGTAGGGAGAGTTATAAAGGAAAGTGCAAGGTGAAAGATTTAAAGAGATCATTGCATGGTCAGAACCACCTAGAGGAGGAAAAGGAGAAACTAAACACAAGCTAGGATCATAGACCAGACCAGAAATAAATCAAGGAGAGAAGATAAATGATTAGGGTTGTCAGGAAAATAAGTCACAAAGTTAACTATCTGAGTAAGAAATTAAGAAATGCAGAAGTTACAGGCTTTAGTGCCAGTAGGCCAGTGGCATTAGAACCATGCCATTCAATGTTAAAGTCACCAATAACAACAATATTGGCAGAGGGGTACAGAGAGAGAATTACCAATTTGATCAGAAATCTAAAATAGTGCATTCTTGGGAAGAAGGAGAATTAAAAAAAAATAAAGACAAAGAGTGAAGAAGTACTAGCGGAAGCACATGAAAGAATAGTCAAAAGGTTTGAACCTAATTTCACAACAAATAGGTGAATTGATGCCTATGTATACCCTCAAGCCAAGCATATGACTATTGGAGTCTTTGCAAATCAAAGGATAGTACCCATCAATGCTGAGATCAGAAGAAGGAATTGCAGAATTTAAATTAGTCTCACTAAGAGCAAGCAAATCTGCTTCACAGACCTTGAATATAAGTAAAAGGTATATTAAAACAGTTAGTTGGTGGGGATGGTTTTTTATGTTTAATATTTTGGGTTACAGTTATCCAGTTAACATCTGTCCAGTTAACATCTTGGACAGATGTTAACTGGATGCAGTTAACATCTGTCCAAGATGAATATTTTTATCAACATACTATCTCTAGTATTTACTCAACCATAAGTCCAGAGGCTGGAAATTTTTATGTTGGAGTTTTTTTCTCCTAGCCTTTGCCTAAAAAAGCACACTCTGTATGGCAGCAGGGCACGGGGCAGGTAGTACTGGGTTACATTATACCAATAGCATGGTGATCATGATGATCCTAAACCTGACCGCCCATGAGTAATTAAAAGAAGCTACTTCCTGCAAACAGTATCTTAAAACATCGGGTATGGTATTTTGGAAATGCGTAAGGAAAAATATTACATTTAACAAGATACTAGAGATAAGAACGAGCGTAGGTTTTATAGTTTGAGTGTCTAGTTAGTTAATGAGCTCACACTGCATCAAAACAGATTTAAACATTTAAACAGGGCGTTCAAACATTTAAACAGAATTTAAATTATTTATTTTAGTTACTTTATTTATGTATGTTTAAATTTAAACATTTAAACATACATAAATAAAGTAACTTACGAGTGAGTAAACACCGCACCAGAGGTTCAGACAGAACACAAATGTACAAATAAACATAAACAGACAGAACACAAACATACAGATTAATTTTAATTAATACTTTCAATATTCAGTGAATTATGCACTAGTCACTATTCAGTGACTTTCTTTAACTTATCCATTCATTTCTAAAAAATTTGATACTTATCCATTTATTTTTAAAATTTTGCTGTTTTGATTTTTTAACATTTGAATATTTTTTTAAAAACAGTGTTTTTTTGTTTTTTTTTGTTGTAAAAAATGTTGTATTACCTTTGTTAATTATTTTAGAAGTTCTTAAAAGATAAACTTGGATGGACACCAGAGTATTCACTAGACAAGGTATTAAGTTTTTTTAAATTTTTTAGAAAAATTAAAAAAAAATTAATTGGAATAATTAAAAAAATCAATGCAATTTCTAAATTATACTATTATTAAAAACTTTATTTAATAGTTAAACTTTTTTTAAGTTCACAAAATATCTCATTAATTATACTGCATGCCTTACATATACATCAGTTATTTAAGCAGTTCTTTATTCTTTCATTTTAATTTAAGATTTTGAAAAATTATTTTAAAAACATCAAGAAATACAGTTTGGCTAAATACTATTAAGTTAATTATTTCAGAAATTTTCAATTGGTTATAGATACTTGTATTACATAGTTTATATTAGGTAAATATAATTATTATTATTTATATGTACTATTGACATCAGCAGTTAAATGACTTCTGCATTTAAATTTAAAAAATGGTGTCAAAAATATAGTTTTGACATATATTAGCGCAGAGCACATGTCTTTTGGCCTCCCTAATTTTTCTTTCAAATTTTTTATTTTCTACCTTTACTGCTCTTGTTTTTTTCAAGATACTAATATTCTCTTTGTGATTGTTAACTACTATAATTAAGATTATTACTTATTTTAGAAATAAGAAAAATAACCCTTTTGTGACTTTCAAATCAGGGAGATAATATACTCTTATACAAGATAGTATTATTTAAAAAATATTATATAAAAAAAAAATTCAGTTGCTTCAAGCGTGAGAACCTTAAAACTTTAATGTGCAAAATTTGAAATTTATCTTACTTTAGTATCTTACTTTACTTCAATTTTTTTTAAACATAATTAAACATAAACAAGAGTGAGTAATATATGATTGACATCATCCAAGGGCAGATCAGTTCTTGGACCTGCGTCACTTGGTCATTCTGGTAAATTTAAGAATTTAGTTATTGATTCATTAAGACTTTTAAGTTCAAAAAATGTTTTGATCTAGTTTATAAATACTTGTTTATAAATACTTTACTTTCAAATCATACATGGAATGACAATTGCACTAATAAATTTCCATACTTACTTATTATAATTCAGCTTTAAGCAGATGGCTTTCTCAATTTTTGTGAAATTTTAATTTTTGTATAGGGCTGACTGAAAAATAAAAATAAAATAAAATCCAAAAATATATATTACAAAATTCGAATTGTTGCATTCTTATAGTAGAATTATAAAAAATAAAATAATTAAAAAAAAGTATTTCTGTTTTTCAAAATTAAAATTTTTAGTTAAAATAATTTCTTCGTATATCTACATAAAAATCCTTTATTTTTACATCTCTCATCTTTTAAAAAAATGAGTTAGTGCATTTTGGGTATGTTCTCTAAGTTGTTTTTAAAAGTTTCTCCTAGCAACCACTAAAATTTTTTCAGATTGTAAAAAAAAGTTCACGTGATGTTTCAGAAAAACTAATGGTCTGTTTAAGGCGAAGGTACTCTTATCGTGACCCTGAGGCAATAGATTGTTACCAAAGGGTAAAAGAAGTACCACACGAGTAACTAGATGAAAAAAGTGTTTATCACTCGGAATGTTAAAAAAAGTTCACCCATTAAATAAGCTTGCAACGTTTGTTTAAACAACACAGTAAATTTATTGCTAGCAATCCTGGGGAAAAAATGTTAAAAGTTTTCAAATTGCTTCATGACCAAGAATTCTTTCATAGAATGAACAATATCCCAAACCATGATGACGCTGTTGCAAATGATTTTAAATACCACTTAAAGTGTTGGGTAACAGGGTAGAGGTTTGTTAATTTGACAACAACTTAAGAAGAAATTCAAGAATTGGATGATATCCAATGATATGTTATTGCAGATGTAGAAATCATTAGTTTAGTCGATTTAAACTTAAAAGAATAGAGTTTTGCTATAGACATAAACAACATCAATAAAACTTACAATAACTTAATTGGGAATAGTGACCAGACTGAGGTAAATTATAAACGTTACTTAATGATACTTACACAAGAAAATGCACTAGGAATAATTTTTTCAAGACCTCTGTGCCGTAGAAAGTTCGAACAGCTTTGTTCTAGCAAATACCAAGCTAAGGTGGTAGATACTTTAAAAAACACAATATTCAAGGCAGCAAAAATAATTCAGAAAGAAGTCCTGCAGTAGAGAATATGGAAGTTTGACAGAAATTTCATTTGTGTTGATTTCACCTGTGTCTTTGGTTTCTTTGCTAAGATAGATGATACTTAGACCAAAACAAAATGCAAACTTAAGTTATGTTGAAAAAAAATCTATTATTAACCGTGTTGATAACATTTCACAAATTATTGAAAAGACAGCAAAAAGCAAGAAGCAAATCTCACATTGCTCAAAACCGGAAAATGATTTTAGAGATGTCACTGAAACACCTTTTTCAGTTGGCCTTAAATTGCATGTGCATAAAGAAACCTGTAATAAGAAGTTGGTGGACATATTTTGGTCTTTCTATTTCCTATGTTTTAAAGGTTGTAAATGGTTTAGGAAACTCTGTTATTGAAAACATGTCAACAAATCAATGTACATTTTTATTTCCTAATATTTAAATAGGAATGCCATGCACTTTTCTATTGATAATATTGACTTTAAGAGCAACACTATTGATGGAAAATCTGAATTTCATGGAACTAACTATGTTGCATTTTAAAATAATTCTAATGCTGAAGAAAATATGCTCAAGATACAGCGTACAAAGTGTACTACATTTGAACCTGCTCCTGTCCATCTAATTCATAGTTGTGCTATACTAAATCCACCTAATAAAAACATTAAAAATTTTGAGCCTTTGCATTCATTGGTCAATCTTTCTTCAATTTGCATCAAAGAACGAATTTGGGCGTTTTTTAATGTGATTGACTAGAAATTTAAATTACCAACATGGAGAGATTTTAACTTACTTCCAGATATTCCTACATCTATGGTAACACAGAGTTTGCTGATACATACAAGTACACCGACATGTACTGCCAATATATGCAGGTACACTGACGGATTGAAGCAACCTTTTCATTGCTTTAAAGCTTGTTTAGGGAATTAACATTGCTGTCACAGGGAGTAAAAAAACCATTGTGACCCTTGATCTTCAGCTCTATTCAAAATGCATGCAGCTACCACAGGACAATGAGATCAAAAAAAATTTCATTTTTTGACTTAAGGAACTACATATTGTATCAGCCTTTTTAAAAGTTATTGGAAAGTACACTATTGGAAGGGGACTCAATCAGATATTGATAGATGCAGGTGTTTACGGCCCTTCCTTGGACAGATTCTTGAAGGGAAACATATGAAACATGGTATTGAAGCATTCATAGTTTTATACCTATCCTTAAACAAATTATACTTGGATAACTTTTTGCTTCTTTACCAGAGATTCGTGATGCAATGAAAAAGCATGCACAAGAACTCCCACCAATAATTGACAAAGAGTCTGCACAAAGAAGCTTTGAGCTAATGCAACTGTATTTCCAATCAAGTGCTATTCTAAAAAAATGCAAGAATTTTGGTGACACATTAGTTCAGCAAGGCTTACTTTATGTTAATGCATGAGATATTGCTTTAATTTATTCAAGCATTTAATAGAGACATTGGATATTTCATCTTTCTTTGTTTGATGCAATGATCCCCTACTCCTCTCATGGTCAATATAATTATACACGTCTTTCAATCTTACCATTTCTGCTGATTAAACTGAAAGAAAAAGACATTACCTCCTGGCTTAAGAAAAATTGTTCTGGTTCTAATCATGCCTTAGAACAAGAAAACAAAGTTTTGAAGGTAACAGGAGGGGTGATTGGTCTTACACAAAATTTAAGGTGCTTAAACCATTTTTGCCTTATTGCTCCTGCTTAAAATACATTATTAAAAATCTTTTGTGAAAAAATAACATTGGATCACAATTTTGAAAACAGCACTACCAACTCGCAGGATTTACCAACGAATAAATTTCATCTAATGTAAACAAAGTCATTGATGCATTTAGTATTAACTTCAACAAAAATCAGGTGTTTTTTAATCTTGTGTCTAAAGCCATTTTACCAAAAGAAGTAGTAGATGAATTAGTTCATCATGGAAAAAAAAAAAGAAAAGCTCTATCATTCTTTTGTTTCTGAAAGATTAATAGGAGACATATCTATATGTTCGCCAATGAAGGTGAGAAATCTGAAAACACTCCAAAATCAGGCCAAAGTTGTGAAAAAAAGGATAATAAAGTAATTCAACTAAATAAAGAGCGCCTCTTATGATCTCATTTTCTACTTATTGCAAGAAAACACCCAAAGCTTGATTTCGAAAAAAAAGCATCAGTTGCTATGAGTTTTCAGTACCAAAATCCATGTTTACTCAAGATGGACCCATTGCTCACCTCTGATAAAGAAAATTCTGCATGAAGTAGAAGACTTGTCAAAAAGATTAGAAATTACCACACAAGAAGAAAAAATGCCTTGAAATACATCAACTATCATTATTGATGACATGGCTTTGATCAATAAAGTTCACATAGATGATAGTATTAAAACTTGGAAGGTAACACTTATGTTATTTATTGTCTACGGTAATGTTTTAATTCAATCATATCACATGTATTGTTCACTGTAATAACTGTGTATGTAGAATTGATAAGTTAACTCATGTATGTATTTATAGTAATACTCATATTTGTTTTATTATTCAGGAATAAAGCAGTTATTGTGGCACATTGAAACCAAGCAAGCTCTTACCAAATACTATGCTAATTATGCGAAAAATAATATAGGTAATTTAATTCAATGTAACATTCAAACACAACAGAAGCAAATATGGAACATCTGTCTGCAGAAATGATGAGTCATGATCATGAAGGGGCTGATACTTTAGTAATTCTGCATGCCATAGATGTTGCAAAAGAAAACCCATTTTAAAAATGTATTGTGCATTCACAAGATACTGATGTTTTTCTACTTTTGGTTTACTTTTATTAAGTCCTGCCACTTGTCATGATTTTCCGAACTGGTAGAGGGGATAAAGAATGTGGTATCTCGAT